GGTTATTAATAAGATTTATCTTATTATAATTTTGAATCTATTGCTGAAGGTATGGTCATAAATGAGGCCTTTCAAGTCGCCGCTTTCATTGAGAAATTACCTCCGTTGTGGAAAGATTTTAAGAACTATCTAAAACACAAGCGGAAGGAGATGACACTTGAAGACTTGATTGTGCGTTTGAGGATAGAATAAGACAACAAAAATGCTGAAAAGAAGTCACGTGGGAACTCGACAATAATGGGGGCTAACATTGTTGAGGAGGCGCCACAAACCAAGAAGAGAAAGAAGGCTTCTGGACCAAAGAACTACCCAAGCAAGAAGAAGTTCAAGGGTAATTGCCACAACTGTGGAAAATCTGGGCATAAGGCCGTGGATTGTCGTGCACCAAAGAATGATAAGAAGAAGAAGAATCAAGCTAACATGGTTGAAAAAGCTGAAGAAATGGAGGACTTGTGTGCCATGTTGTCTGAATGCAACTTGGTAGGAAATCCTAAAGAATGGTGGATAGATTCTGGAGCCACCCGCCATGTTTGTGCTAACAAGGAGTTATTTTCTTCTTATGCCCCCGCAGGACCCGACGAGACAATTTTCATGGAAAATTCGTCTACAACCAAAATTGAAGGAGTTGGCAAGATTGCATTGAAGATGACATCGGGAAAAATAGTGACTCTAAACCAAGTTCTCCATGTTCCAGAAATTCGCAAGAATCTTGTGTCGACTTCACTTCTTGTCAAGAATGGATTCAAATGTATTTTTTTTTCCAGTAGTGTTGTACTAAGTAAGAATGATATGTATGTAGGAAAAGGTTACCTGAATGAGGGCCTTTTTAAGCTAAATGTAATAGCAGTTCATATCAATAAAGTGAATGCTTCTTCTTACTTACTTGAGTCAAACACTTTATGGCATTCGCGTTTAGGACATGTCAACCTCAAAACATTGCGAAAGATGATAAATTTAGAAGTATTGCCAAAATTTGATTGCATTAGTTCCAAATGTCAAATATGTGTGGAATCAAAGTATGCTAAGCATCCTTATAAGTCCGTTGAAAGGAGTTCAAGTCCTTTAGACTTAATTCACACAGATATTTGTGACATGAAGTCAACACCATCTCGCGGTGGGAAAAAGTATTTTATTACTTTTATTGACGATAGCACGAGATATTGCTATGTTTATTTACTTAATAGTAAAGATGAGGCAATTGATGCTTTCAAGCAATACAAGAGTGAAGTTGAAACACAACTAAACAAAAAGATCAAAATGATAAGAAGTGATAGGGGTGGCGAATATGAATCTCCTTTTGAAGAAATATGTTTGGAAAATGGCATTATTCACCAAACAACTGCCCCTTACTCTCCACAATCTAACGGAATTGCAGAGAGAAAGAATCGAACATTGAAGGAGATGATGAATGCGTTGCTGATAAGTTCTGGCTTACCACAAAACTTGTGGGGGGAAGCTATACTTACAGCTAACCGAATAATCAACCGTGTATCTCATAGTAAAACACAGTCCATTCCTTATGAGAAGTGGAAAGGAAGGAAGCCCAGCTTGAAATACTTCAAAGTGTGGTGGTGTCTAGCTAAGGTACAAGTTCCTAAACCTAAAAGGGTTAAGATAGGTCCAAAAACGATTGATTGTGTATTTATTGGATATGTAACCAATAGCAAGGCATATCGTTTTCTGGTTCATAAGTCAGAAAATCCGGAGATTCACGTTAATACGATAATAGAATCAGATAATGCTGAATTCTTGGAAATTACTTATCCGTATAAAAAGGAAAGTGAAGTGACATACCAAAAGTCAAAACGACCTCGGGAGGAAATAACAGATGGTATGCCTAATGAGGAAAATCTGAGAAGAAGTAAACGTCAACGGACATCTACTCCATTCGGTCCAGATTTTCTGACTTTTCTGTTAGAAAATGAACATCGTACCTTCAAGGAAGCAATGTCGTCATCAGAAGCACAATATTGGAAAGAAGCGGTCAATAGTAAAATAGAATCCATATTGAGCAACCATACATGGGAATTAGTTGACATTCCTCCAGGTAATAAAACATTGGGTTCTAAATGGATTTTCAAGAAGAAAATGAAAGACGATGGTACTATTGACAAATACAAGGCAAGACTTTTTGTCAAAGGATTTAGATGGCGAGAAGGTCTTGACTATTTTGACACATACTCGCCGGTAACAAGAATTACATCCATTCGGATGCTAATAGCGTTAGCCGCCTTGTATGATCTTCAAATCCATCAAATGGATGTAAAAACAGCCTTCTTAAATGGTGATTTAGAGGAAGAAATCTACATGGACCAACCTGAAGGGTTTGTGGTTCCGGGAAAAGAAAAGAAGGTGTGTCGTCTTGTTAAGTCTCTTTATGGACTAAAACAAGCACCCAAGCAATGGCATGTGAAATTTGACCAAACAATGTTGTCAAATGGCTTTAAGATTAATGAATGTGATAAATGTGTTTACATTAAGAACGTTCCAAATCATGTAGTCATTGTTTGCTTATATGTTGATGATATGCTAATAATGAGCAAAGACATTGCCGACATTCAAGCTACTAAGCGCATGCTTGCTAGTAAGTTTGATATGAAAGACTTAGGAGTTGCCGATGTAATTCTAGGAATTAAAATCCAGAGGACTCCTCAGGGTCTAGATTTGTCTCAATCACATTACATGAAAATGGTACTTGAAAAATACAAACACTTGGAATTTAGAAGTGCAAGAACTCCAACTGACTTAAATCATCATCTTATAAAGAATAAAGGTGAAAGTACGTCTCAATTGGAGTATGCTCGTGTGTTGGGAAGCTTAATGTACATCATGAACTGTACACGACCTGATATAGCTTGTGCAATAAGTAAACTTAGTCGATTCACAAGTAATCCAAACAAACATCACTGGGTGGCAATGAAACGAGTTCTGGGATATTTGGAATATACCCAAGACTACGCTTTGCACTACAATAAATATCCTGCGGTTATCGAAGGATATAGTGATGCAAATTGGATAACCGGCTCAACAGAAACAAAGTCCACAAGTAGATATGTTTTTACTGTTGGTGGAGGAGCAGTATCTTGGAAGTCTTCCAAACAAACGTGCATCGCTCGCTCTACAATGGAATCAGAGTTTATAGCTTTGGATAAAGCCGGTGAAGAAGCTGAATGGCTTCGAAAGACATTCCATTCTGGCCAAAACATTTGGCTCCTATTTGCATACATTGCGATAATGAGGCTGCAATAGGACGGGCAGGGAGCGTTATGTATAACGGAAAGTCTCGTCATATATGACGAAGACATAACACCGTTAGACAACTACTTTCTAGTGGAATTATCACTATTGATTATGTAAGATCAAAGGATAATGTGGCGGATCCGCTTACAAAAGGCTTAACTAGAGAGGGAGTTGAGAAATCATTTAAGGGAATGGGACTATGGCCGAGGACAAGTCAACATGGCGGTAAATCTACCTAGAATTTTGGATGTTCCGAGATCTAGGTTCAAGGAGCTCAAACAAAGTTGTGATTGACCGGTTCAACATTGTCAAAGTAAAATCTTTGGTCCCTTCTCGTGATGAAGACAATGTTCAGTAACAAGGATAGAACTTTACACGTTCTTTAATGATTACCTAAGTTTGATGTGGTAGTTATCAAATAGTGTCAATCTAAAGGATTACACGTTTAGGAATCACCTATGTAAGTGTGAAGTGGAAGCCGCTTCAATGAGAATTCTGTAAGGCCAATTCTCTACGTACTTATGAGACCAGGCGGTGTTCATGGCTGAAACGAACACAACAATGAGAACTAAAATACGGTTAAGGGTTGATTGTGTGACATATGGTTGTCTAGGTATACACTAAAGTTCGACGGTTCAAAGATATCAAATCTACCGATTGACCGAGTATATCCGACATATGTTCACTACGGAAAGTTCAAAGGGAAACCTACTTATCCAGATGCAATTAATCCTTACTTGCAAATCACACAGCTTTCATCTAAGATCTTTCTTGATATAGCCATTCCCATTCATGTGGGGGATTGTTGGACTTTAAGCCATTGGGCTTTAAAGTAGAAGAAGTGTGAATTGAAAATGGAGGGAAATAAAATGGAGGGAAAAATGAAAATTTGAAGAAGTGAACTTTTGTCTTGCACTTTGTCCCTCATTGGTGAGGGACAATCACATTTGTGTGCTTATATATAAAATCACTTCTTAAAGCTCTTAAAAGGAGTTGAAGAGAATGAACCCTCGCGCCGTCGTCATCGCTCGCTCGGCTCGGCTTCGGCTTTGGATTTGGATTTGGATTTGTCAAATGATCGATAAGATTATTTTTGGACAAAATTTATTTAATTATTTAATAATTAATTAAATGCCAAATCACTGCTGAAAATATGCCAGAACCCTGCTGAAGATTCAGAGGGACTCTCTGGCCGCGGTTTTGCCGTAACCGCAGTAGAACCGCGTCAGGCAGATTCAGAGAGCCTCTCTGACCGCGGTTCTGCCGTAACCGCGGTAGAACCGCGGCAGGCAGCGTATTCTTCTGAAAAGGCACCTTTTCCAGACACCTCTTCTGATAATTGCCTATAAATTCTGAGGCAAGGCCCCATTTTCTACACACGAAAAACACTCCAGAACTTCTTTCTTTTTGAATATACTGCATCCTAATTCGCAGTCTCTCTCTCTCCAATTCGTAAGTGTGATTTTGCTCCGTTCTTTGAGTTCGTTGGGATCCTGCAGTTTGTATTGCCACTGTTGCAGGAAGGTTTATTCCGTTTTATCCTGGGAGGATTTAATCCATTACCTTGGCAACTTGTGAGGGGGTTAAAATTCCTTAAGGACACACGAGAAACTTGTGGACTCGGAATATTTCTGATTCTCTACTATTTTCCAGATTTCTTTAATTCTTCTAACAGTTTTTTTCTTCTGATTTTGTGTTTTAACACGGTAACGCTCACATTTAGTTGTTGTGACACAAGTCATTATCAACTTCCCAAAGGGTTATGGAAATCCAAACCCTCTCATAGCTTCATCAATGAAATCCCAACTCACCATGTCATAAGCCTTGCGGAGGTCTATCTTCATTAGACATCTAGGCGATGTCTTCCTATTATAATGCTTAAGAAGGTCATGAAATATTAGTACATTGTGCACTAATGATCTTCCTTCCACAAATGCTGCTTGGTTCTCTTCTACTATGTGGAGTACTGCCTTCCTCAATCTTGTGCATATCATTTTTGATATACATTTATAAATCACATCACAACATGATATCGGTCTGAATTGCTCTGCCTTTTGTGCTGCTGTTACCTTGGGAATCAAGGAAATCATGGTAGCATTCAGCTGCTTAAGAAGCTTACCATTGCTGAAGAATTCTAGGATAGCAGTAGTTACATCTCCCCATATTATTGTCCACGCAGCCTTGAAAAAGTCACCGCCATAGCCATCAGGGCCCGAATTTTTATTCTTATCTATACTGAACATTATTTTCTTCACATCCTTCTCAGTGTATGGTTTTAACATATCTAGTTGTTGTGATATGGTGAGTACATTTCCATTTCGTAGGAAATCGTTGAAAGTTTTAGTTCTTTGATTCTCTTTTTTTCCTAGCAGCTCTTTGTAAAAATCAACCATTATACCTGCTATTGATTCTTGATCAGTCTGTACCTCCCTATATTTATCTTGCACTTGGGTAATAGCTTGCTGCAACCTCCTATCCTTAACCACTCAGAAGAAATATTTGGTATTATCGTTCCCTAATTTTATCTACGTGGCTTTGCTCCGCTGTTGTAAATAGAGCTCAGCCATATATGAGGAGTGTCTAAATTTCTGGTAACTTTTTGCTTCCTCCCTCTGTAGGTTCTGATCTCTTAGACATTGTTGAAGTGCTATTTGAGTCCTTTCTAGTGCATCCCTATCCTCGTTACCTTCTTCCACTATATTCATCTACTGTTGTTTATTTAACTCTTTCAGTTTTCTTTTCAATTCCTTCATTTATTTGTTGTCTCCATGTCTCCTTGACCTTGTTCAGGAATTCTGGATGTTGAGACCATGTGTTGCAAAACATGAAAGGTTTCCTCCTTTTAACCTGATGGCTGATCACCTTAGCAATGATTACAGGACTATGATCAGTAATCCCTTCCAGCAAGAACTTTGTTGAGTATACATGCATAGTATCTAACCATTCTATTTTAACAAATACACAATCTATTTTTGACCAAATTCTACCCCTTTCATGCCTATCACTCCATGTATATCTGCTTCCACTTTGAGGTATCTCTATCAACCCACACTCCTCCATACAATCATGAAAGTCTATGATCTCACCAATAATTATTGGATTCCCACCAATTCGATCATCCTGCTTCAACACTGTATTAAAGTCCCCTACTATTAGCCATGGCATATGGTTCCTCTGACTAATATCCCTCAAGTAGCTCCAGAACTCTTTTCTTTCTTCTTTACTGTTATATTCATACACTATAGTCATTATATAGTTAGTTTGCTCACAAATATTTGTCACCCTACAAGTGACCGCTTGCGCGGTCACATTGATGACACTCACTTGGAAGTAGTCGGGACTCCATGTGAGCCATATCCTTCCATTGTAATGAACTTCCAAATTTGTAATGTATTCCCGACCATTAAACATATTATCTGTTACATTTTCTATTCTCTCTGCTTTGATTTTTGTTTCCACCAATCCAATTATTCTTGCATTCACCTTATTACAAAGGATCTTTACCTCCTTTTATTTATTAACATTCTAACATACACAGCTATCCATCCCGGGAGGTTGAATAGTTGGTCCTCCCTCTTTTCTCACACCCCTATTTGGTACATACTCACTTGGTCCCGTATCATTCAAGACTTGAAAAGACTTCCTACTGATTCTCCCATAGCTGCATTCTACTTGTGTTTTTTGGTGTTGTCTATACCTATTGAGTTTTGTTCCTCTGTAATGCTTCCATAAAACTCTTCTCATTTTCATCTTTGTTAATGACCTGCTGGCTAACAACTTTTGATGAATTTTCCTTAGCTTCAGGAATTGTTGTCTTCTCTATTTGGCCATTGTTCTCTGCTACTTTAAGTGTAGGTTGAGGTATTTTCCTCTTCCTACACTCCTCCTCAGCATGACGACATAGCGTTGGTTTTCAATCATACTGTATTTTCTGCTTGTATTGGGGAAAATTATATTTATATATATGGTGACGTGTCATGGCACGTAGACTGATCAAGCAGTCAAAGAATTAAGGTTGGTAACAGACACGAGCAACAATAGATACGAGCAAGTTAAATGAAGAAGGCACGAGCACTCACACAAATAATTCAACGTTCGTACCTATTCAAGACATTCAAAGGTCAAAGATCGAGAAGAGACAAAGGAATGAATCTGACAGCAAAAAAGAGCCCAGATACAGCATTTAATGAGTACTAAATACTAGAAACGTTAGAGAATATGTATTTAATGTATATGATTGCATAACGTAACATTTAAGGTCATTAAATTACCCATAATTATCTTATTATGACAAAGGGAAAGTCTGTATTCCCAAAACAGCTATAAAAGGGAAAGTCACAAACAACTGTAAGGACACGAAAAACACGACTGGAATATACTTTGTTTTATTTGCTTTCTGATTATATTATTCAAAATCTCTTTCTTATATACTTTTCCGATTATCAGTAACCCGAGTTCTTCTAAATTCAAACTTTGACCTAAAATCTAATTTTTGGTTAAACAAATTGGTTCCGTTACCGGGAATCTGATAATCAAGCATATCTCAACCTAATTTTCTTGATTGCATCAATCATGTCGAACAACAATGACAACACTCAAGGAAACCCAGAAATTCAGACAATCCAACAACTTCAGGGAGATTCCCCACGAGACTCTCCACAAGGTTCTCCACGAGGCTCCCCACGACGGTCTCGTGAAGGCACTCCTGATGGATCTCACACAGATGGACAGGCTCAATTCGAAAATGTTGAAACCATGAATGAGGCTCTGCAAAACTTATTGCCTCTCAAGTCAATAACGCTCTTCAAGCTTTTGTTAGCCAATTACCTGCTGTTCTACCCACATCTACTCCAAACAACAACACTTTGGAGAATCCTCGTTCAGGAATGGTTAATTCAGGCAGCGGTGGAACCCCTAGTGAAACACAAGAGAGAGACCCAGGTAATCCAGTTAACTCTGATTTACAAAATCTAGTACTAACCTTGCAGAAACAGCTTAAGGAGCAAAATGAACGCATAGAGCAAATACCTGGAGTACCGCCCGTGATCAAGGGAGTGGATATAGATAAATATTCTCATCAACCATGGAAGCCAAGTGCTGCTCCCCTCCCAATTCCAAAGAAGTTTAAGATGCCTGATATTCCAAAGTATGATGGTACATCAGATCCACGAGATCACGTTACTGCATTCACAACAGGTGTCAAGGGCAATGATTTGACTAAGCAAGAGATTGAGTCGGTCTTGGTCAAAAAATTCGGTGAAACACTCACTAAAGG